TGAAAGACTTGGAGCTCAGTTCTGTGTTCCACACAGGCTACACTAGGTTCAGAAAAGGGAAATGGGGACGAGGAAGGTGATTTCAAGTCACCTACAGCATCTCCTGTTGTGAGCATGGCCAGTTCCCAGCTGCCTGGATGTCCGGAAAGCTGTGTGAACTTCCACTCTCCTACCTCTGGCTTCAGGTTTCTTCTACCACTAAGAAAAGCATTTAAAATTCTGAAAAATTGTCTGAGCTGCCCTAGTCAACAGAAAAGGAGGATTAGTTCAAGAGCAGACGAGCACAGCTTTTGACCCAAGTACTAGTCAGGTAACTGCGGAGAGAAACACACTAAAAATATAAATAGAAAGATGTCAAAGAAATAAATTAGGTAAATTTTCACATCTGGTTAAAGAGACCTGGAAAAATTCTCATCAGCTTGTAGCTTCCCCAAACTATCCATCTCTTTGGGCAATACTAATTCCACTTCATGTCTCAAAGGGCTGTATAGAAGACACATCAATATCTAAATAACATGTATTTTCTTTTGTAATATAATTGTAATTTAAAGGAAATTACAGCATGGACAGATCGCTCTAGCTCCCTAGCACCCCACACTCCTCCCAGGTTAGATCTGAAAGGCAAACATTGCTTTAACATTCCCTGCCTATGGCAGGAGTGGCACACGTACATGGAGACACCGTCAGACCCAGCATCACCTACCAGGGTGCCCCAGTGTCCTGCAGATATTTGCAAAAGCTCCTGGTGCAGAGGACAGGAGACACTCCCTCTCCTTCCTGCAAAGGACCATGGACTCTTGCAGAGGACCAAAACCAGGCATAAAAGTCACAATTTCAACCACTTTTTATCAAATTTTCCTGTGAAAGCAGCAAAGGCAGTCAGCCGTAATCTTTGCTAAGAGGCTGAACTCAGAATGATTTGAAACGGGTGCTGGTATCCAAGCCAGATCCCTTTCAGTATCAAGAGCATAGCCATAATATATCAGGTATCACTTTACGGCGTGAGTTTTAAATGCGTTCTATATGTGGAATCACATAATTCACATACTGAAATGGGCAGCACATTTAATGAGTAGCCCAGGTGGCTACTGTAGATTTTGATTTAAAATAAGATTGCCAAGACCAGAACTTACTTGCCAAAATGGAATTCTCTTTGTGTGCTCTCTTTATATTTCTTCAGCTACCTGCCTTTACCAAAGCAGAAAAATGTCATATAAAGAACCTCTATTTATATAAATTCTTTGATAGTTTATTTCCATCTATACTTTGCAGTGTAAATGGTCTATATTTGGACATATTCCAGAAGTAAAGGAATGAATATTACTTTGAACCCATAAGATGAAACCAAAAGATTTCTGCTCATACTGGTACAAAACTGCTCTATGAATATTAGATACATAAATCAATTGGTAAACAAGCAACTAAAATTTTATCAGTTATAATCTGGGAATATCGATTGGGTATTTTATTTTTCTGGTAGTTCCCTAAATATGTTAGATGTCAATACCTCACACTTCTTAAATAATTTTAGATAAAACTGGAGGTATTAAATAGCTACAAGATACTATGAAGATATACATATTAAAATGACTGATGCTTTGAGAATTTAATTTTTAATGTCATTAAAATACTTTATTAATCAGGTATGAGGAAAAGAGTTGTTATACTTGGAGCAGCAGGCAAGGAAAGCAGTTAGAGACACCTGACCTGTCTCAGGCTTTCATATTGTTCACAAGTGCTACAGATATTCCACCCACTCTTCCAACAAGAACACTTATAGGTGGATATACTAGTAATTAAAAATGGTGATAACTTCAAAAAGCTCCTATTTTAATAAAAAGGCACATGGAAAACTGAGTTGCTCCTATTTGGTACGAGCCACTGGCCAAAACTCACGGTCCCTTGTTCCACTGTTATGGTCAGAGGTGTGAATGAAACAGCACCAGGCACCAGGGTGCTGCATAGGTGCTTTGCCTTTCCCATGCTGATCTCAGTGAGCAGCACCCCCTGTGACACCAGGAGCAATCACTAGTGGTTTCCAGGCAGTCAAACTACTCTTTGAGACCGTGCAATGTTTTCCTTCCATAATTGACAGGTGAGCACGAGAAGGGGATTTTTAACCAAAACAGGATGAGTGACTGGACAGATGCTGGGGAGGATAAGATCACATCAGAAGTAGCTTCAATTCACACCTGACCTGGCCTACTGGTGGGCTTCTGCCACCCAGAGTGACCCTGTAGCACCCCTCGACTCACAGCACCAGGCTTCTCGCCCTCCTCTCGAGGGCTGGATCCAGCCACTGGACGTGATTCCACGAGCTGACCTAACAGAAAACTATGTGGATTTTGCTATTTTGGGCAGGCTAATTTTCCATTAGCCTGCTCTGCTGCTCCATAATCAATGGATATGACTCGAAGAAAGCAGCAAGAACATGTGACAGAGCAAGATGGATTGAGGCCACCCTTTCCATAGGAGCCTGCAGTTTCATCAGATTAAATGTAATGTGAAACCAATGTCCGCAGTGGTGGTGACAATGCTGCCTTCATGACACACATACAGCATACACCTAAACAGGCTTCCAGCCTGACTCACAGCTTCATGCTCCTGTGCTGCGTGTCTGAAGCATGCCAGAGCTCTGCATGGTTTGAATAGGGTGTTTTGGCCAGCACAAATCCAACAAGAAACACTTCCTGCCTTTAGCCCTTTGTTCAGATACTGAGGCAAATATGAAGTGGGTAGTAGTCCAGTTCAGATATACATAGAGTGGATGACCCTTTCTTTGGGCAGTGAGATAAGGTTTAGAAAGGAAAAGACAGCTCATGTGGGTTGAGCTCCATCAGTGCGACACCTGGACAAACCTAAAGATCATTTTAGCCATTTCTGATTGACCTCCTTAGAGGGAATTGGTGATACTTAATTCACTGAAATACAAGGGCTTGGGTTTCTTCCTATTACATACGCTTACCAGGACTGTTACCTCTTTCTTGGTCTACAGATCTTGTGGTCAGCCACAGAATGATTCTGAAAGCCTGCTGGATGCCAAAGGGAAGTATATCTGGATTTGGCTAGCTGAAGAGATCTTCAAAGTCAACCTCAAGTATCAGTGCAGATGTACATCGTGGCTTCTACAATTAGTTCTGATCATCTGTTAGAGGACTGGTGTGCATGTTTGTCCAGAGGAGAGTGATGGAACAGAGATGAGGTTAAAGGCTAAACCATTTACACTTTGTCAGAGAGAATGAGCATTGATGAAAATGCTAAAACCACTCTCTCAGACCACATGGCATCCAAGTTCCTCTGTTCCTCCATGAGAAAACTAAAGCAGACATGGCTGAGGAGCTTCATTCACCCTTCTACCTCGAGAAACAGTCCCATCTCTCCAGTAGGGACCAGCCAAAAGCAGCTTTTATGGTTCTGTCAGAGAAGAGCTTGATGGATTTTTGAGAGGTCAGGCAGGAAGGCTGCCCCTTTCTTGCGCTTTCTTACAAAAGACAGCTATTCTCTAGGTTTAGATTGATCTAAACTCTCCTCCTTAAATTAGTTTTTTTCTCAAACCCAAAACTCTGGCGTGTCTTTTTTTGGTTTGTGTACATTTCCCATTTAGCTTGTTGAAATCATGCTCCTTGCAGCATGGTAAGTGATAAAAATGCACACTGTGTGAAGAAAACCTTGTCAAAAAGATGTGCTGTGCAAAACTAGTGACCTTATTTCCTAATTAGGAGACGTTCCCTAGACCTCTCTATCATGCAACCAATAACAACTTCTGTAAAGAAAAGTAATTTTCCTAGAGTCGAAAAGCAAAGAGCTGCTACTCAGGCTCCAGAACATTAATTTGCAATCCTAATTCAGTGAGTAGCATGCTGTTTACAATAGAATGACAAAATGTCCTTTTTTAAAAGAAACAGTGCAATGAATTGTCCCTAAATTCTCCCTGAAGGACAATAACATTCAGATGTTCCTTGGCACCAATTAGTTTCAATGCAGCCATTTAAGTGGCATTTCTTCATCAACTAGCATGATATGTTATATAAAGTTATGTGGTTATTGGAAGGGAATTCACATTAAAGTAGGGGTCCAGAATACTACTACGATACTTAGCAGCAAATGCTAATTGCAGTTCATCAATCGCAATTGGTGACATCACCAAATTCCATATTATCCCTTTTATTACATTCAACTAATAAATATTTGGAAACTAGGGTCTTACAAGTTTATCACAGCATTTTAACTTCCAGTGCTGCATGTAGAATATATGTACATACAGGATCTTACAAAACCAGTAAAATCATAAAAAAAAGAAAATGCAGCAAGGCCACAATAAAAACAGGGGAAAAAAAAGATAGTCTTAACATCAGATTCAAACAGACTGAAAAGTAATGCTGAAAGATATGCCTCCATTTTTAATTTGAAGCTTCTCAGCTGAAGTAGAGCAGTTGAACATTTAGTTTGAGTGAACAGGTTTGCACATCCGACGTTTCACCGCATTATGAGTGGGACAATGTTAAATATGTTTTCACTGCAGCTCCACAGGTCACTGGCATGGGCGTAAGCCAAGAACATACAGTTAAGATTATTACAACATAGCTATTGGTTATGCAGCTAGAGCTCTATGCTAACTAACAACATTTAATGCTTAGATAATGTGTTCTCATTATTGCAAATGAAATGAAAGGGCCCTTTCCTGTATAAAGACAATCCAAGCAAAGTCCACACTTTTCCACCAGACTATTAACGGAACCTTTTTTCCACCAGGATTCAAAAGAAGGGGAGGTTAAGGGAACTCACTGATAGAGCAACATGGTGAACGCAAACCTGTGCTGTGGAAGACTTACCATCATCCAGGTACATCTGGTCCAATTCCTCAGGTTCTCGCTTGATCGTTACAGGAATAGGGGCCAAATTATGATTACTTTCCTCATGCAACTCTGGCAATGACAGTGGTTGGGTTGTTGGAGACTCATTTCTGTGAACCTTCGGCAGTTGCTGCTGCTGTTGACCCATTATGGATGAGTGAGTTGGACTGCAGGACTGCAAATAGGTTGGCTCTTGGGTAACAGATGGAACTGGAGAAGAGGGACTGTTGGGATAGAGTGTTTGTTGATAACCAAGGGGACAGCTACTGCTCAGATGTTGACTCACCTGCGGCTGCAGCATGACGTGAGATGATTGCTCGGGGGGGCTTGGGTGCACAACTATAGACCTTGGCACTTCCTGTATGGTGGGGACACCTCCAGGGGGCTGCTGAAGTCCGAGGTGACTGTGGCCCGGGTTGGGGATGCACTTGTAAGGAGAGGACGAAAGGTCGTGCAGCTTGGGGCTTGCGTTGGGAGAAGGTGACATCACAGCGTTTCTCTGCTGACAGGAGGCAAAGCCGGCCACGAGGCACGAACCAGGATCAGGGGGCATCATGATCTGCTGACTGTAGTACGGTTTAGAGAGAGGGCTTAAGCCTTGGTTCATTGGTCCACAGGTTTGAGCAGGCTCATAGTCATCTGTGGGTTCTGTTTTTATAATTGGAACTGTTAAAAGAAAAAAGGTTTTAAATAAACATGAGTTGCGTATTGGTATGATCAAGTTGGCTTGTGGCTAGGATACCCTTTGCAAAACAAACAACGTCGTGAATAAGACTCTGTGTGTCTTTTGCCTAGTTCTCCCACCCTATAAAAAAAAATGAATGAGTCATCAGCACAAGAAAGTCACAGCTGGTTCTAATATTGAAAAGGACTATTTTCTTTGGACTCTCCTCCAGCACTAATGTGCTATAAAAATCTATTTGCAAATAGCTGTGCTTCAGTGGAAGCTTTGGACCCAAGGGCTCCATGGATTTGTAGTAATCAAGGCAAGAATTTTAACTTGGATAGACTACTGCATTTCTACAGCTACTGATGGCCCATTTGATAAATGTCTGTACACGCAGTAAACTGGAGCATAATCAGGTAGAGATGGGGCTTTTAGAGTTCAATGAAAATAAAGTTGTAAAGATACACGACCAAGTGTCCCAAATGATACCCTAAGCTGTCATGTCTCTAAAAAGTACCACAATGTGGATAGAAATGATTGTTAGTGAGCATCAACTCAGTCATGACAAATGCAGACCTGCTTTCTCAAATCAAAGAAAGACCCTCTCTCAAACTGAAGTGTTTTCTCAACATTTGCTTTCTCTCTCAAATCAAAGAAAGGTACCTTTGAAGCCTCTCCTACAACAGATGCAGTGCACAGGTAAAACTGACCCACTTTGTCTATCAGAAAAATTACTAATAATAGGACCAAACTAGACTGTAGATGTATTTTTTTTTCCTAGACGCATGCAACTCTAATTCATATGATCAAGTATGGATGCACAGTGGCATTTATCTTCTTTCTAAAAATTTTCTGGTGACAGCAGAGAATAGTTTTCATAATATTCTAATAATCAACCCATTGTGGCATGAAGTTAATAATGAAACATCTTTTCACAACTCAGCTCAGATACATGTGTGTTGCACGAGTGTCTCTGACTGTATTTTTATTTGCATGTGTTTTACAAAACCCTTACACATTGTCCAGCCATTTATTATGTTTGTGTATGAGTCTTTTTGAGCCCCTTAAAACACATGTGTCCATCTGCACATATAAAACCTCTTTTAACACTCATAGATTTTGTTGGTGGTGAATGCACTTCACTGCCCTTGTTTTACAGTCCCCCAGCCCCTTGTAAACTTTGTTCCTTTTATGTTCTTTTACATGTAGATGCTTGCAACACTTGTTTCAAGATTTCTAGCACCCTAGTAAAAACAGGCCTATATTTGTAACAGATGCACAGGTGCTGCTCAAGACAAATACTCTAGGTGTGAGGGACTGTCATTGGATTTCTCATAATCTTATTTTCACCAGCTTGTGTGATGCACATTGGCTAGCAGGGCTACTAATGCACTTGGTTGCAGAGAAGCAGATTCCAAGTTCAGTGACAGCTTTACAAAACCACTATCACACCCTTTAGGAAAATGCAAGACTGAAGAAACGCACCTAGATAAACACAACAACTCAGATATTGTAAGAAAATACCTTTAACAAGTTCCTGAGCTAGCAAATATTCTCACATGTTTTATATTAGGTTCACTGTGCTAGCACTAACCACAGCACAGCTGGAAATATGATGGTTGTTGAACACTGAATTTTCCCAATATATCACTGTTATAGAAACACCTGTGCTAAATAATTTCAAGCTCAACCACTGGCAATTACAACTCCAATAAACCCTGGAGTTGTCTGACTTGTTATAACCTAGGGAAAGGTTATAGCCCTGGTGGCAGGCAGGCTGGAGGCTTTACAGAAGGCAGGCTCCTGATCTCAGGCTGGCTTTCCATTGCAGCCCTTCAGCAGAACACCTTTGCTACCTGGTGCACCAAACACTTTTTTCTCACTTCAGTGTGAGTTTCTCTTTACAAAAGCAATGCCATGGGGTCCATTTAGAGGTCTGATTAGTGGTCATGAATGCTATGAATCTCTTTTTGTGTGTAGCTACACTGAGATACACACACTGCAGCCACCACGGAGGACCACCAGTAAGTCCTGCTCTGCACCAGAAGGACTGATGGGTGGGAGGGACTCTATTCCACACCTGTTAGTCCAAAAAAGTCACTTGGAGTTGGTGACAGCAACCAAAGACACTGGTGCCTACAAATTCAGAGGGAAAACAAAGACTGGTCAGGGCAAGTCAGGGTTGTTTTGCTTTGAACTATTACTTATGGGCATCAGTTATTTAATGCAATGGGAAACAAATTGTCTTTAAATGGACAAATGCTACCTGCACTTATGCTTAGAGTTGCCTGAACTTGTTCAACTGTAATGTCTTTGTTATCTTTTTTAATGTATTTTTTCAACACAGTAAAAAAAGTCAGCCCTTACTCGATATGATATACTTTTGTTTGTACGTGAATCTCATCACTAGAATAAGTATCACACTGGAAGACAGGAAAAGTATTCCTGCTGAAATGGTGAAGGGATTTGTATCTGACTTTTCTGTGTTTTGCCAGCTGCATAGCCATTAACCCTGTGCAGAGTGAGTGCAAGCATCACACAGACTGGGATAGCAGCCACTCAACCCCCTCTAAAAAACTGCAAACATCTTCATGAGGTACCAGTTGATGAGGTACCAGTTGGAGAGTGAAGGTCTGTAGGATTTTTTTTTTTCCCATGAGAAACCATTACCAGTGATCCAGGTGATCTGGAATCAGTCCCGTAAAGCTGAGCATGTCAGAAGAAACGCAAGACATTAACATTCCCCCTTTCCGGCCAGATCCCAACTTCAGTATTTTACTAAAATACAATTTTACTACAATAAGTGTATTTATGAATAACTGTAGTACTTGACTTGTGGAGGACACAATACCACAAATTGCTACATTACATCAGTTAATGGTTTATTTATGCTACTCTGTCTCATTACCTGCTTCTCCCCAGCCTATGCATCTTCAACAAACAGAGTAACAAAGGCCAAAAATCTCTGCCAAAGTTTGTATTTGCAAACTCAACTCAAACTACCTGTGGGTCTGATCTGGTCATTCTGAAAATGCTCTGATTGTGTCAAAAGTTGGTGTAAATCACCTCATACTCTTTTTTTGAAAGGGCAACTGTTTACTTCCACGTTTCAAAGGACTTTAGAGGCACAAAGTAAGAGCTAAGGGTATTTCAAGGCACACCTCCCCAGCCCAATGCAGGAACAGGCTGTAATTTACTTGCTGGCTACCCACTCACTATCACAGTGTCTTATGGTGCTACTCCAACACTGTAATGAGGCTACAAGGAACTAACACACCCTCACCCACTGTCTCACTGACTTCTGGGGAACTGAGATGCTCAGCTGAGGCGAGCAATTGCACCTGACTTAGAACAGGATACAACCTTAGTACCCGCCTTCACCGTTTTCTCCTAGATAGGAAAATCACAGAATACCCTGACTTGGAAGGGACCCTCAAGGATCAAGTCCAAATCAAAGCCCTACACAGGAGAAACCTGGGCAGTTCACAGGGGAATCCCCTGCACGAGACAACACAGTGGACAGGACTGGCCAGCTGGGTACTTGTGTTACCACTTACTTACTGACTCAGGCTTGACAAACTGCAAGTCTTTACAAATCCAAGATCAAAAAAGAGGTTTTGAGTCCTGTTATACACCTCCATGGAGGCATGGTAAGCTAGCTGCCATAACACACATCCATTTCCATTTTCACTGACTTCCACAAGCAAGTATATCACACAGGGAGATGCAAGGTGACATAGACAGTACTGCTAATTTTCTCAGGATTAATATTTAACAGAGAACGGTATCAGCCTAACCACTTCTGGCTCAAATATTTCAAATCTTGAATGACTTGGTAAAACCCTGCCAGCTAAAAGAGAAACTCCTAGTCAGTCACACAGCAGGCCTGGGCTGGCAATTAACTGCAGAGCCCTACAGCTGTTCAGAACCTGTGAGCACTTCCAGCGGGAACAGTCACTTCTTAAATCCAGCAGAGATTAGAACCAAATAGAACAATCGTTCTGTCTCAGAACTGCTCCGTGGTGCTGAGGTAGCACCCAGCCTTGCAGGCTCTCAGCTGACTAGAAGGAAAAACTGTGACTGAATTTGCCATACGCCGAGTTTTGCCTACAATAAACTGCATCAATGAAGCCAGAATTTGTGAAATTGTAAACACAAGAGATGATACTCTTTCTACGTACGCTCAGACTCAGAAGCAACATTATTCATTTAAGAGTGTTGAAGGATCTGGCCCTTGCCCTAAAAAGGCAAAAAAGAATGAAAGTTTGGTTCAGTGCAATTTTAAATGCCTGTTATTTCTCAATGCATTAGGTCAGCTGACAGTTTTAAACAGTCCTCAATTTTGAATATTAAAATATGACAGAGGTCACTGTTCTAAATTAGTCTGATAAGCAAATTAATTTCTAATTGGTTTTCAGTGGTTTGGTGATGCCGTCTTAGACTCTGAACTCATGTCATTATGTCATCTAATTTAATATGAAGTTCTGAGAACCATGAATTGGCAGCAGCCCTAGCTATAAATCAAAGCTTCTTACTCAGAGAGATCAGGGTTATGACATCATACCAAGGCACTGGTGGAAGACAATGGTCCTTCTGTGTGTGTGTCTGAATCTGGGAGAAATATTTCAGCCAGTTCTCCAAGCCCACATTTCAATGAAAGGCCTTTCTAGCAGGTAAAAAGTTAATATATCAAACTTAGAAGAAAAATAATAAATCATGCACATTCAGTAAAGGGAGTCAGAAAGTGCACAGATATAAACTATATATATTTTTTGACAATTCTAAAAAGTGTGTGTTTGCTTTCACACTTCAGCAATCCAGATGGGTTTTACAACTCTTTTTTTTTGGGGGGGGTGTGTAATTAAAATATGTGAACTGAAAAAATAAAATCTTATCAATTAAACAGATGTTTATCATGATTAACATGCAACTATAAAATTCCCATTTCTATGTAGTATTATCAGTGTAGACATTTATGGCACTAAAATATATTTATTTT